TCTAGTGTGGAGGAACCTTAGCCAATCAGTTGGAGGCCTGAATGGAAAAGGCTGAACCTTCACCGAGTCCTTATTCCTGACTGCCTTCAAACAGAGACACTTACTTTTTCGTTTAAAAAAATCTTTTCTTTACTTATTTGATATAGGGTCTCAGTGTGCAGCTCAGACTCATAGTAACCCTTCTGTCTCAGCCTGCCCAGTGCTGGGATTACAGGTGTGCACTACTACACCCGGATTCAGTAGCTGGCACGGTGCACTCAGTACCAGGGATCGAACCTGGGTCCTTGTACTTACCAGGCAGGCACTTAGACCACTATATCCCTTGCCCACACTGACCTTTCCTTGTTGTCAAACTCAAACTCAAACATCAGTCCTTCCTGGGTCTTGAACTTGCTGGCCTTGCATGAGCACTACATCATCAGCTTTCCTGGTTCTTAGCCTCTGGATTCAGACTGGAAGTCAGTGTCAGCTCTGCTGGGCCTCCAGCTTGTCACCTTATCCTGTGTCATAGTCTGGGGTTTTGCAAGGGGAGAAGTACAACACAGGACATATATTTTATAAGATTATTTATAATAGTCACCCCAAGAGCCATATACAAAGAGAGTTCAGAAAATCTATGTCCTGCTACAGTAAACCCATATGTACGTATTTTACAACTGTTATTCATGTCTTCCTCTAATACTATATCCCTGATCTTTTTAAAAAGGTTTGTTTTGGCTCCATTCTTCTTATTTGTTAGTTGGGCACAAAAGATATATACATTTGTTCTCATCAATATATGAATATTAAATTTACAGTTGTTGACTTCCATTCTCTCCTGTGCTTCACAAAAACTATTAAAATAGACATTAACTTTGTAAAGTTCAGAAAATTACTGTTATAGAATAATTTTATTTAAATTTGTCACATGCAAAGTATTAATACCAAAGCTCAGGAATTGCCTTTTGGCCTGTTCAGAGACCCTGTCCTTTTTTTCTTTTTCTTTTTTTTTTTTTTTGACTGGTGTGGCTTACTGAATCAAAGCAGCTTAATTTGAAACAAGTTCAGAATCTTTTTTTTTTTTTTTTTGCGGAACCAGGGATTGAACTCAGGCCCTTGCACTTGCCAGGCCAGCGCTTAGGCTACTGAGACATCTCCCCGGCCTTCATGAGACTCTGTTGGTGACAATTATTTTTGTCTGACAACTCACCAAATAATAAATTGATGATGGTTTGTATTCAGTTGACAAATTTAGAAATAACAAAATTAAAACACTTCTTATTTTTTAAAAAAAGAAGAGAAAGAAAGAAAGAAAGAAAAAGAAAATCTGTCCATACATGAAAGATCAAGGAATCCAGCTGAAGGCCTGGATCCAGCCTATAACAATGCCTCCTGCAGGAACAGCTGGAGACCTAGAGCCCATGACAGTGTCTCATGCAGGCATGTTTCATGGACCTGTGCTGGGAAGACCCAAAGATCAGCGGTGGAAGCTAGAAAGCCCATGCCAGGGGGACGAAGGGTCTGTGCTAGTGCCTGAGGGATCTGAACTGGGGCCAGGGAGCAACACTCAAGGTAAGACCCAAAGCTACCCCAGAAGTACCACAACCATCCTCACCAACAGTGAGGTTCTGAGCTCCTTCAGCAATGAGGAAAGCTAGATTCCTATCAGGAAAGCTAATGGGACAAGCTCCTTCATGAGGCTGAGCAGTGTGCCATCTTCCCCTCCAAAGTGTAAAAGGGTAAGAACCAGAGCACCTCTGAAATGAACCACAGCCATTCTCAGAGACAACAAGGTCATGAGCTCCTTCAGTGACATGAACAGCCAAGTTCATCCGGAAAGCCAGTGCGACAAGGTCCACCAGCAGAACAGTCCATGAGAACAAGCGGCTTCCAACAGCTCCCCAACAGCTTCTCCAAACAGCTCCCTCAATAGTCTTCCCTAACAGCCTGTCAACAGCTTCTCCAATTCTGCCTCTTCTGCTGCTGGCGACAACCCTCAGGTGGGCCTCCCACACCCAGTATCCCACTGATTCAGTTCAGCTGAGTGCAACAAGTTGCCCACCAGTTGTCAATCCACCACACCCTGCATAACTTGGAACCTGTCAGCCTCCTTCATCATGCGTCCCAATCCTTGCAACAAGTCTCCTTCTTCACAGAACGTCTGTGTACCCTGTAGGGTTTGTTTCTCTGGAGCATTCTAATGCAGGAAACAAACTAGGAGTGTCTCCTGCAGGCTTCCACATGGAGTTAGGACCAGTGGGGTAGTTCTAGGGCGCGAGCCACTGAGGATGTGTTCCAGGACAATTGTGGAGAGGGTAGGGAGGCAGAGGAGGGGGCCATTGGAGGTATACGCAGAGGTAGGATGAGAGGTGGTAGAGTTCTAGTTTACTATGGGATGCAGAAGACAAGCATGGATGGAAGATGATTCATGTATTTCATGTTAAAGTCTTGACTAAGGTAGGGAAGCTAAGAGTGTATTAATTATGCTTTTTGTGGTATGTAGGGAGATTCTACTTCTTCCAGGACTGGCTGATTCCTAAGAGAAGAGAAGAGGAGAGAGAGAGATAGAGATAGAGATAGAGATAGAGATAGAGATAGAGATAGAGAGAGAGAGAGAGACAGAGACAGAGAGAGAGAGAGAGACAGAGAGAGAGAGAGA